CCTGTAGAAGGAGGTGAGGACTGAGCTTCCAGACCAGCTCGTCTCAGGAAGTAGAGTCTCTGATGAGCTTTCTTCATCAGGCTGGTGGTGTTGTTGCTCCAGCTGAGGTTGTTGTTCAGGTGCACACCCAAGTACTTGTAGCTGGAGACCACTTCCACTGCAGATCGTCCTATGTTCAGGGGGTGGGGGTGGGGTTGGTGTGTTTGTTACTTCTGAAGTCTACGACCATCTCCTTCTTCTTCTTCACATTGCTGTGAAGGTTGTTCTCCTTGCACCAGCCCTTCAGGGTTCAAATCCCCGGCAGGGACTCGAGCAATCTGCTCGTTGAGAGGCGGCAGCTCTACCAACTGAGACACCGTACCGTCCTTGAAGGATCTTCTGAGGGTTAATAAATAGTTCATTAGATTTGATTGGTGAATTGATTTTCACTTGATGGGACAGAGTTGGACCTAAATAAACTCTTGTTGATGGAGTTTCAGGTGTCCTGACATAGACAGATTGAATATCAGGTTTTCTTGTTTTAAGAGTATAGTAGTCCCTCGTTTATCACGGGGGATCTGTACCCTGAAGCCCCACGATAAGTGAAAAACAGTGAAGTAGGAATAGTAGCACAAGTACTACATAGTAGTTTATTTTAGTGTATATATATATATATATATATATATATATATATATATATATATATATATATATTGTTTTGCTTTCCGATAAGCAAAGGTAACCACTGGAAAATAGTGATAAACACCTTGCTTGCAGCCTCTCCTCCAAGGAGTCCGGAAGCTAACCTCAGCGCCGTGGTATTACCTGCAGCTTTCTAAAGTAGCTTCTTTAAGGCTGCGACGATGTGATTCATCCAGAAAATTAACGACCTTCTATCCGTGAGTCACACCCTAATCTCACTCTATTACTTCGAACCTACCAAGCAGCAGAGTTGGGTCGTCTGGTCCAGAGAACCTCACGTTATGGCCGCTCACCTCTTAATTTAGCGTTGCAATTGTTATCTGTTCTGGTAATCTTTAGGGCCCTGGAAAACGGGCACAAGGGTGTTGTCACTCACTGGCTAGGGAACCTTTTTAAAACCTCCTACTCATGTGATGTTAAAGTTGAACCAAGCTTTACCATGTGTTTGTTCAATAAGGATGAAATAATAGTCCAGATTTATACGTTTTATTTTGCTTTAATCAATAATTTTCGCAGGGGTACAGCATCAAGCACAATTTTA